TTTAGAACAATAATCATTTGAATGTATAGCCTGAATAATGCTGCTAAGCATTGCCGTTTATATATTCTATGACTATAAAGGAAGGGGACATTGTTCAAAGTATCAAGAAAAAATGAGAAACGTGTCTGTTGTTTCCTACTGAGACAAACAGTTTCCCAAGAAGTGGATATTAGTCAGTGTTCTCCAAATAAACAGAACCAGTAGGGTGTGTATGTGTGTGTGGAGAGAGAGAGACTTATCATAAGGAATTGGCTGACCTGTTTGCGGAGGCTGAGAAGTCTCCAGATCTGCAATCTGCAAGCTGGAGACCCAGGAGAGCCGATGTGCAGTTCCAGCACTGAGTCTGAAGACCTAAGAAACAGCACAGCCAGTGGTGTCATCTCCAGTCTGAAAGCCAGCAGGCTCAAGGCCCAAGAAGAGCCAATGTTTCAGTCTGAGTCAAAAGGGCAAAATAAATGAATAAATAATGTCCCAGCTCAAGCATCAGGCAGAAGTCTCTCTCACTCATCCTCTTTGTCCTCTTCAGGTCTTCAGTTGATTGTGCTGGGACTATACTGGACTGGTAATTCAACTGAGTACTGGTAGCCAATATGCTCCAAAGCCATTATTATCACATATGATGACCAGCCTGCAGGGACAAATTGAGGACCCAAGGACAAGCCTGTGCAGAATACAGCCAACTCTGAGACTTGGCCTGTAGTTATCCATAGCTACAAGACTCAGCTAATCCCTTTGTGAAACGGCATCGTGCCAGTGTTGTAAATATTTTTATTATTTATATATGTAGCTAAGCTGACTATTTAATAAACCTCTGTGCAATTCGACCATAGTCCTTCCTACATAGGTGTTTCTTAATTAATTCTTTAGCTTCCAAATTCCCATTATATAATATTTTATTAGTGGTTTATATGGTTTTGGTGTCCAACCAGGATCAACCTTGACTAAATAATCCAGACAATGCCCCCTCCCCCTACAAAATACTATAACTCACTGCTATTAACTTGTGTATCAGTTAGCTTTTGCTACGTAACAAATCACCCCCAAACTGTGGCTTTAGACAGCAAGCATTTCTTATCTTTTCTGAGTGCTGGTGGGTTGGCCGGGCAGTTCTGGGCAGTTTGTCTGGGATGGTTTGGTGGATGGTTGTGATCAGCAGGTGGCTCATCTGAGGCTCTGTGGCCTATGATCACTTCCCTTACTTGACAGTTGATGACATCTGCTCGGGCAATAAAGGTGACTTGTTCATATGTCTCTCATTATCCACCAGATTAACCTGGGCTCCTCATGGTGGTCACAGGATTTACCAGAGCAGAAAAACAGGGCAAGACACAAAATAAAAGAAATGTTCAAGCCTCTGCTTATGTCACGTTTGCTATTGTCAAATTGGCCAATACAAATTAAACGGGCAAACCCAGATTTTGGGAGGGGATTAACCAAGGAAAACTATTGCTGCCTTTTGTAAATAGTATACTACATCTAGGTATCTCCAGCCATTCCTGCTGTTCTACTGGGATAGCTGCCACCACACTGCAACTCAAGTGACAGTCTCAATAATCAATCCATATGAACTTTCAGCAATAGCTTATGTGCACCATCTGCAACTTGCCAAGTCTGATAACCTTGCCATGCCTCCATAACACAAGGTGATCGCTACACATATATAAAAATTCCACACACTGTAGTCCTTCACCTATTACCAGGGCTCTTCTTTTTAGTTAAATAAAATTCGACTATGTGAAAACTTGTATCTAAAGACTTGCTTTCTGTTTCATGCCCTGTGATGACTCAGCAGTATGTGGGTAATGCACACAAGGGAAGAAAAACTTACCATGCAAAATTGCAAACTTACAGAACAGATAAATTAGGAAGTAGAGAGTGATTCATCCCATCACAATAGAATTCTTTGCTCTTACATCAGGATTCTTTAAAATAGCCAAATCCGCTAGGGCCTCTAAAATAAAACCAATCACCAAACTTACTTTACATGTAAATTCTCAGGACTATACCTACTACACAGAGCAAGGTGTGGCTGTGTTGATTATTCTCTCACTTGCTTCCACTAGACTCGAAAGGGTTTTCAGTTAAAATAGCCAAATCCGCTAGGGCCTCTAAAATAAAACCAATCACCAAACTTACTTTACATGTAAATTCTCAGGACTATACCTACTACACAGAGCAAGGTGTGGCTGTGTTGATTATTCTCTCACTTGCTTCCACTAGACTTAAGGGTCAGTAAAAGACTGTGTTCTACTTTGCAGAGTGTACAAATCAAAGCAGCAACATTATGTCCAGAAAATATTTATAAATCTCAGACTGTTACGTGATTTCAAACATGTGAGCATCCCATCCCATATAGTCTGAAGCTACATCCCTTTCCAAAAGGAGAACTGGAGTTCAACCCTTAGCCTTCAGTTGCCAGATGGTGTGGGGGAAGGGCGGGTGGGGGGAGGGGCAATGCCAATCCCGTAGATCAGGGGCAGAGCTGGGACGAGCTCCCGGCACCTCCCACAGCACTGCCCTGAGACTCCAGCCCCCACAGAGAACCTGCTTCTTTCGCTCCTGCTCTTTCCCAGCTCTGCCATGATTAATTTCCCTCACTTGATTGACACAGCCCTTANTTTCCTGCCTGATGTATACAGGGGTATCCATATTTATATTGATCTAGGCACATGAATGGCATACACATGCTCGGCATCAACTCGGCAGAGATGAGTTTTGCACTCACTCAAATTTTCAACTCACCCGCAAAATGCCTGTATTTAGCCTGATGTGACTTGTTTCCCCACTATAAACAGATTACGTCAGTGACTGAGTGTGTGTATGTATGTGTGTGTGGTATCTTTCCTAGTCAGTGACTGAGTGTGTGTGTACGTATGTGTGTGTAGTATCTTTCCTCTGTTAACTATTTATAAATCCTGTCCATTGTCCAATTTGCCAAATTCCTAATACAGCTCACCTATAAATTAAGTGATTATAGCTCCTATTGTCAATATGTCACCTTAGCACTTTCATCCAGCCACACACTCAGATGCAACCCCAGCAGTCCCAACTATGGTCAGGATGAGGGGAGAAGGGAGGCCAGCATGCTTTTAATCACGCAGCATTACTGGGGGAGTTGCTACCTAATTCATCCCCAGCCTTTGTCAGTTGCCTTTGAGATGCAGCTTGCCTCTTTTGGTCCATGTCACTTTCCCCAGTATCTTCTGCTTATATCCACCACTCCAGTATGTTCTGTGGTAGCTGAGAACATTCAAGCACAGGCTACTTCAATTCTGTCTGCCCTCTGTCATCTTTCAGTGCCTGGCTTGGTGCTCAGGGCCTCCCGGTTACTCTTTTAGCACCACACTGTGGTGACCAGATTCTGTGAAGCTGTCCTCAGGCCCATTCAACCCGAGCTACTCCACAGGCCCGTTCAACCTGAGCTGTCTTCAGGCCCTTTCAACCTGAGCTACCCAACTGTGTGTACAGAGTCTGCACCTGGGAATGAAAGTATCAGTTTCTCCTGTTGTTTTCACATTAAACTTACCTTCTTAGATATTTACCCACCCTCTGCCTACCATTAACTCTGGGATGATATAGAGCTTTGGGATCGTATTTGCTGGGTTCCATAACTTTGACATTGTCTTCGTATCCACTTTCACATCTCTCTGGAAATTGTTGCAACCAAGAAGGATTAAATCTCCTCTTCTGGTTATGTGGAATCTAACTTTTACACTGTTACACATTTTCTATTTAACTATTGTGTGTAAAACTTGTTATGCCCTGATCCTTTTCTTTTCTCAAAAAGCCCAGCGTTTGCAAATCAAAAGGTTTCATTTTCAAAACTATTGTTTCTGTTGTACATTAAATTATATTGGGCTTCTTTGTTTCAGTATTTGCCCACCCTCCCCCCAGGACAGTGCCTACAGGAAACTGTTGCCTAAATATTGGTAAAAAAGGTCATAAGTACATGAAAACTGGATCTTTTGGGGTAAAAGGAAGAAGAAAGAGTTGATATTCAGAAATCGTATCTACTACACTCTGATGAGAAATCTGTACTCATTTTCTTTCAGCACAAATAACCCTTGGTATACATATGTGTGCTTAATTATTTATCATTGCAACAATAATGATAACAAAAACAGTAATAATAAAGAATTTAGGGGCCGGGCTTGGGAAGCGCGGCAGCGCTCCCGCCGAGGGTTTGGATCCCACATACAGACCGGCCGCTCACTGGCTGAGCAAGGAGCAGGGGCGGCGCCGAGGGTTGCGATCCCGTAGCCGGTCCCGGTCCGGTACGGGCGTGACACTGAGGGTTGCGATCCGTTGCCGGTCACGAAAAAAGACAAAAAGACAAAAAAAAAAAAAGAATTTATTTAGCTCTTTTATAATGAAGAATGTTTTATATCCATTTTAATTGCATAGACGTCACTGCATTTACATGCAAGCAGGAGTCAATGTTTCATGTAACATCTCCATGACAGCAGCTAGCTCCTTGGGGACAAGGACAGGGCCTGCCTTGCTCACTGTGTATGTGCCCACTGTATACCCAGCATGATGTCTGGCATACAGGAGGGGCTCTGTGAATTGGTTGAGTGAATGACTGACTCCCACCTCCTTTGTTGACTGCTGAGATGGTGTTCCAAGCACAACAGGATTAAAATACCCAGGATTTTGCCAGCACCAATGTGCTTTCTAAAAAAGAGACATGAATATATGACAATCAGTTTTGGAATCCTTTAATGGCTCTGCTGACAGGATATGTAGGGTGGCTTGTCAAACATGAGCCAGGTCTACAGCTCAAAAGCCTCCAACTGTGGTGACAACAATTTAACCTTAATTCCCAACCTGATATGTCCACTTTATCATCTGTCATCTCTGAAATTCTGAAAATTATTTTTCCATTGTGCCCTCTCATTCAGCTCATGATCTTCTTTGGTTTCTCCAAAACCTTGTTTTCTGGTAAAAGAAAAAAGAGAGAAAGAAAGAAAAGAAACATATTCTAAATCCTTCTGGAAAAAATAGAACAAACCTAAAGCACACTGCTCGAGAATCAGAGAACAGACCAAGATGGTGGAACAGACAATCCCAGCATCACTCCCCCGCCCCTGCAACCTCCAACAAGAAATCAACTTACAGCTCTTCAGATACAAAAGCTGCCATCCTGTAATCACTGGTCTCTAGGGGAAGAGGTGGAGAGACCTGCTAAGTCTGCGAAGGCATGGAAAGCTGCAGTGAGTGGCCAAAGGGACCACCTTGGTCAGACCCAGCCCCAGCTGTTCCTGGGCCAGCACTGCACAGCACAGGGGGCAGCTTCCTGGAAATGGCAAAGCTGCAACAGCACCCTTTGCAAGAAGCTACTTGGATTTTCAGGGAAAAAAGATGCTGTGACAGCTGGCAAAAAAAGAAATCACTGTGGAGCGAGCCATCGTATTTCCCAAACCAGTAAAACTGCATGCACGCTACCCTGGAGCGTGTATAGGAGGGAGGAGCCACAGATGATGGGAGAAAAGATCCACCTAGGGGTTGGAGAGTCTTCCCAGATGAACTGTGCTGTGACTTCCCCATGGGAAATGTTTGCAGTGCTGGGGGGAGGGCACTGATCCACCAGGGGTGCATCAGGGAGCAGTGTAAGCAGCTTATCTGCCTTCTGATTGGAAAAGGTGCAACACAGTGGAGACCAGAACATGCAATAGAAATGCAAGGGCACAGTTTGTGAAAAGGACTTAGTCATGGGCTGAAATTCCCACACAGCCCAGTCACATCTGTGGTGAACCCACATGACCTAGAAGTGACTAAAAGGCCAACAATTAAAACTGAGTCTGCACAAAAAGGTTTATTCCAGTCTAAGATAAAACAGTGAAGGAGCAGTTTAGCTCAGGCACAGAGTTTAAGTTCTGGTCCCTGTAGGAAGTTTCCCCCAATCCTGAAAGTAATCACAGAAAATTAGCTCCAGGGCAGTGCTTAGGTGATGGTGGTTGCTATTAATCTATCACAGAATGGAAAAGAAAAATGAAAAAAAAAAAAAAAAGAAAAGAAAAGGAGAATAGACCAGAGAGAAAATTCTGATATTGAGCAGTAATAATCTAAAACCATCAAAGAGCACCTATAAAACCCAGAAGAGGCAGGCATCTCCTCAAATGCACAGGCATCATTAACATAAAGGAAAAAGATCAAGAAAGAACAGAGAATATAACGCCATCAAAAGAAACTAACAAAGCACCAGCAATAAATCCAGGAGAACAGCAAATTTATGAAATGTCTGACATAAAATTTAGAATAATCTTCCTAAAGATATTCAGAAAGTCACAAGAAAATAAAGATAGAAAATTAAATGAAATTTAGAAAACAATCCACAAGCAGAACAAGAAATTTGACAAAGAAATATTACAAATTAAAAAAAACCAAATAGAAATTCTAGAAATAAAGAATACAATTTTCTGAACTGAAAAACTGGATAGAAAGTTTCAGCAGCAGATTTGATAAGAGGAATCAGTAAGCTTGAAGACAGAACATACAAAATGATCCAATCAGAGGAGTAAAAAGAAAGAAGAATTTAAAAAATGAAATAGCATTGCAGCAATTATGTGACTCATTCCAATGAAGTAAGCTTTGCATAATTAGTGTACCCAAAAGAGGTGAAAAAGGAAGAGACCTAGAAAGCTTATATAAGGAAGTAATGTGTGAAATTTTCCTAAGTATAGAGAAAGATGTCAGCATCCACGTATAGGAAGCTCAGAGGTCACCAACCAAATTCAATACAAAGAGGAACACTCCAAGGCACATCATAATAAAATTATCAAAAACCAAAGACAAAGAAGAATACTGAAAGCAGCAAGAGAAAGGAGACACATAATATTCAATGAAGCCCCAATAAGGCTTTCAGTGGATTTTTCAGTAGAAACCCTACAGGCTAGAAGAAAGTGGGATCATATATTCAAAGTACTGAAGGAAAAAGATCATCAGCCTAGAATTCTGTATACAGCAAAGCTAACCTTCAAATACGACAGAGAAATAAAGTCTTTCTCTGACAAACAAAAGTTAAGGGAATTCAACAACACTAGACCTGCCTTACAAGAAATGCTAGTCGGAGCTCTTCAAGCTGAAAGGAAATGAGGGTCAAGTGTAATAAGAAAACATCTGAGTGTACAAAACTCACTAGTAAAGTAAATACACAGACATTCTCAAATAATAATAAGGGTGGGGAATAAACCACTTACATTCTTACTATTATAGATATTATAGAATATTTTATCCAACAGTTGCAGAATACACATTTTTTTTTTCTCAGCAGCAATTGGAACATTCTCTAAATAGATCATATGTTAGGTCCCCCAAAATCTCAACAAATTTAAAAAAATAATAAAATAAAACCAACTACTTTGTCGAACTACAACAAAATAAAACTAGAAATTGATAACAGAAGCAACAATGGAAACTGTACCAGTAAATGGTAATTAAACAACATGCTCCTTAACAATAAATGGGTCAAATAAGAAATTAAGAAGGAAATTAAAAAATTCCTGGAGACAAATGAAAATACAAAAAGCAGCACACCAGAACCTATGGGATATAGCAAAAGCAATCATAAGAGGGAAGTTTAACAAAAAGCAGCACACCAGAACCTATGGGATACAGCAAAAGCAATCATAACAGTGAAGTTTGTAGCAATAAATGCTTCTCAAAAAAGGACTTCAAATAAAACATAATGTTACACCTCAAAGAACTAGAAAAAAAACAAGCACAATGAAACCCAAAATTATTAAAAGGATAAAAATATGAAAGATCAAAGCAGAAATAAATGAATTAGATATTAAAAAAACAATAATGAAACCCAAAATTATTAAAAGGATAAAAATATGAAAGATCAAAGCAGAAATAAATGAATTAGATATTAAAAAAACAATACAAAATTGGGCCGGCCCGGTGGCGCACTGCTACAGTGCACCACTTGGGAAGTGCGGCGGTGCTCCCTCAATGGAAACTGTACCCGTAAATGGGAATTAAACAGCATGCTCCTTAACAATAAATGGGTCAAATAAGAAATTAAAAAGGAAATTAAAAAATTCCTGGAGACAAATGAAAATACAAAAAGCAGCACACCAGAACCTATGGGATACAGCAAAAGCAATCATAACAGTGAAGTTTGTAGCAATAAATGCTTCTCAAAAAAGGACTTCAAATAAAACATAATGTTACACCTCAAAGAACTAGAAAAAAAACAAGCACAATGAAACCCAAAATTATTAAAAGGATAAAAATATGAAAGATCAAAGCAGAAATAAATGAATTAGATATTAAAAAAACAATACAAAAGATTAATGAAACAGATCTGGTTTTTTGAAAAGATAAACAAAACCAATAAATATTTAATTAAATTGATGAAGAAAAAAGAAAGAAGACTCAAATTAAATCAGAAGTGAACATGGAGACATTACAACTTATACCAAAGAAGTATGAAGGATCAGAAGTCTACTACAAACAACTATATGCAAACAAACTGGAAAACAGAAGAAATGGATAAATTCCTGGACACATACAACTTACCATGGTTGAATTGCAAAGAACCAGAAAACCTACACAGAGCAGTAATGAGTAATGAGATTGAAATAATAAGAAAAAGTCTCCAAACAGAGAGAATCTCAGGATCAAACAGCTTTACTGCTGAATTCTACCAAACATTTAAATACCAGTTCTTCTCAGACTCTTCCAAAAAACTGAAGAGGCCAGCATTACTCTCATACCAAAACTGAAAGAAGACACAAGAAAAAAGAAAACTACAGATCAATATCCCTAATGAGCATACATGATAAAATCCTCCTTAAAATACTAGCAAGCCGAATCCAACAACACATTAAAATGATCATTCACCACGATCTAGTGAGGTTCATCCCAGGGATGCAAAGATGGTTCAATATACACAAATAAATAAATGTGATACACCGCATCAACAGAGTAAAGAAAAAAAACATGATCCTATCAATAGACACAGAAAGAGCATTTGATAAAATCCAACACCCTATCATGCCAAAACACTCAACAAATTAGATATAAAAGGAATGTACCTCAATACAATAAAGGGAAAACCCATAGCTAATGCCAAACTGAATGGACAAAAATCGAATGCTTTTCCTCTAGGACCTGGAATAAGACAAGGATGCCCACTTTCCCTACTCTTATTCAATATAGTACTGGAAGTTCTAGTCTGTGCAATAAGGCAAGAGTAAGCAGTAAAGGGTATGTGAATAAGATATGAGAAAGTCAGACTACCCCTATTTGCAGATGACATGATCCTATACACAGAAAACACTAAAAATTCCATCAAAAAATTACTAGAACTAATAAATAAATTCAGTAAAATGCCAGGATATAAAGTCAACACACAAAAGTCAACAGTCTTCCTATATGCCAACAACAAAATATCTGAAGATGAAATTAAGAAAATAATCCCATTCACAATAGCTACCAAAAATAATGAAATACCTAGGAGTAAATTTATTCAAAGAGGTGAAAGTCCTCCACAATGAAAACTACAAAACATTGGTCAAAAAAATTGAAGAAGACACTAATAAATGGAAAGATAACCCATGTTCATGCATAGGAAGAATTTGTTTTATCAAAATGTCTACATTATCTAAAACAATCTACAGATTCAACACAATCCTTATCAAAATACCAATGACATTCTTCACAGAAATAGAAAAAACAATCTTAAAAATTTGTGTGGGACCACAAAAGACCTCATCTAGCCTAAGCAATCTTAAACAAAAAGAATGAAGTTAGAAGTATCACACTTCCTGATTTCACAATATACTATAAATCAAAAGTAACCAAAACAGCATGGTACTGGCATAAAAACAGACAAATTGACCAACAGAACAGAAGAGACAGCCCAGAAATAAACCCACACTTTTACAGCCAACTGATTTTGATCAAAGGTTCCAAAAATATACACTGGGGAAAGGACAGCCTCTTTACTCAAGGGTGCTGGGAAAACTGGATATCCACATGCAGAAAATTGAAACTACCTCTCACCATATATAAAAACCAATTCAAAATGGATTAAAGACCTAAGTTTAAGTCCCAAAACTATGAAACTACTAGAATAAAACATACATGAAATGCTACACAAAATGGGAAAGGGCAGCACTTGTTTGAAAAAGACTACAAAGGCACAGGTAACTAAAGCAAAAATAGACAAACGACTACATCAAACTAAAAAACTTGTGTATAGCAAAGGAATACAATAACAAAGTGAGGAGACAACCTTCAGAATGGGAGAGAGTTTTTGCAAACTACACATCAGACAAGAGGCTAATATCCAGAATATATAAGGAATTCAAACAACTCAGCAGAAAACCAAATAACCCAATTAGAAATGTGCAAAGGGAGCCTATCTTCCAGTTCAACACTGCTTTTACTGAGTTCTAATCTTTTATTAAACTACATTGATTGAATTATTAAATTCAGTGGGAGTAATTTCAGTTATAGAATTTCTATTTGGGGCCGGCCCGGTGGCACACTGCTACAGTGCGCCACTTGGGAGCGCGGTGGCGCTCCCGCCAAGAGTTCGGATCCCACATACAGACCGGTGCTCACTGGCTGAGCGAGGTGCGGGCGCAACACCGAGGGTTGCGATCCCGTTGCTGGTCCCGGTCCGGTACGGGCGCGACACTGAGGGTTGCGATCCATTGCCGGACACGAAAAAAGACAAAAAAGAAAAAAAAAAAAAAAAAGAAATGGGCAAAGGACCTTAACAGATAGTTCTCAAAAGAAAATATACAAATGGCCAACAGGCACATGAAGAATGTTCAGCATTGCCAATCACTAGGGAAATCCAAATTAAAACCACAATGAGATATCATCTCACCCACTGAGGGTTGCGATCCATTGCCGGACACGAAAAAAGACAAAAAAGAAAAAAAAAAAAAAAAAGAAATGGGCAAAGGACCTTAACAGATAGTTCTCAAAAGAAAATATACAAATGGCCAACAGGCACATGAAGAATGTTCAGCATTGCCAATCACTAGGGAAATCCAAATTAAAACCACAATGAGATATCATCTCACCCCAGTTAGGATGGCTATTATCAAAAAGACAGAAAATAGCAAATGCTGGTGAGGATGTAGAGAAATGGGAACTCTCCTGCACTGTTTGTAGGTGTGCACATTGGTACAGCCACTGTGGAAAACGGTATGGAGGTTCCTCAGAGAAATAAAAATTGAGCTACATTATGACCCATTAATCCCACTTCTGGGTATACACCCAAAGGAAGTGAAATCAATATATCAGAGAGACACCTGCACTCCCACGTTTTTCACAATGCCATTCAAAATAGCCAAGAGACGGAACCAACCTGAGTGCCCATCAGAAGAATGGATTAAAAAGAAAGTGGTATATATGCATAATGGAATACTACTCAGCTACAAATAAAAATAAAATAAAGTGAAATAAAATCCTGTCATTTTCAGCAACATGAATTAAACTGGAGAACATCACGTGAAGGGAAGTAAGCCAGGCACAGAAAGACAAATACCACACGATCTCACTCATATGTGGAATCTTAAAAAATGGTGGTTCTCAGAGGAGTAGGGAGTAGACGTCTGATTACCAGAGCTGGAAGGGAAGAGGAAGTTGTGAATTAATACCCAAGTGAATCAATGTACAGTATATGCATATATTGAAAGAACTCACTATACCCACACAAATATGTACAAATAAGTGTAAAAAAAAGATAGAGAGAGAGAAGGAACAAAACCCATTGTTTCTTGAAAGAGAAATTCAAGACTATGCATGCTTGTGTTCCCTGACTGCCTTACTCTAAGACCAAGAGGAGAAACCACCACTAATAAAAACTTGCTCTTCACAGACCGTGCCTGATGGTCGGCTAAAAAATGTCAAGTGGAGTATTTAAATATCAGCTCTTGACAGTATTGCCTCTCGGAGGAAATACAACCAGACCTTGCTTACCAGCTCTCCTGGGGCTGAGATTAGCTTGTGCACGAATGAACAGGGAAGGCTCTTTTAAGATGTAGGAAAGCATTTCAGGAAGGGGTGGGTGGAAGCATCTTCCGGAGCTCGGAGGCAACTGAAGGAAATTGATCAAGAAAAGCGGTCCTGAGGTTTGCCCCCCAGGTAGGCACATCCATACAGTCCCAGAAGAACCCCTCAATTGTGAGCAGCCGTGGAGAGCCAACTCCTTACACACTCTGATGGTTAACTCTGCCTTTCACAAGCAAAGCAAAGACAAAAGCAGGCAGATTATCCTCCGGAATATTCTCTATCTTATCCTTTCAATATAACTCAAACTTAAATTACTCCTTTTCTTACCGTTTTCGTTTTCCACTTTTAGCCAAATCTACAGATGACATGTTCTATAATTTGTGAAATATTTTTAAAATCAACTCAATTTGTATTCCTTAGATGCATACATTTAAAAAATATATTCACATCAAAAATAATAATAAGTGCCCATATCCCAGGGGATTTCTGAGTGCTTTATAAGTGGTAAAGTTTTTCCCAAGTATTTTGGGAAGTCGCCAATACCTCTTGCATCAACTCTACGGGTTTGAAACTCACCTCTGCTGTTTCTCAGCTGTTTGATCTCTGGGCCCCAATTTAATCTTGCACAGAGGGGAATAATAAAACTGTACTTCCTCGAGTTACTGTGATGATTAAATGAGTAAGATAAGCAAGATCCTTAAAACACTGCCCAGAAAATAATAGGTGCTTAATATGTTAACTAATATTAGTGTTATTTATCCCTTTCCATCACTAGTTTATCATCCCTTTTAGAATCCAACAATGTTTCTGAGGTGCTCTGTTGGGCACTGTCAGATCATAGAAAATAAGAGTTGGAAAGATACCTGCCTGGTACCTTCTTGTCTTTATACCTCAGCTTAAATGTCACTTTCTCAGAACAAAGGCTTCCCTGACCATCCTGTGTCCACTGTGCCACCCATTCCCGATTCTATTTTTTTTTTTTTTTCCTTTTTTGAGACCGGTAAGGGGATCGCAACCTTTTGGCTTGGTGTCATCTGCACCACGCTCAGCCAGTGAGCGCACCGGCCATCCCTATATAGGATCCGAACCCACGGCCTCGGCACTCCCAGTGCCGCACTCTCCCGAGTGAGCCACGGGGTCGGCGCCGGTCGGCCCCCCTTGATTCTTATCAGAGTATTTTGGTTAGTTTCATTTCTAGCACATACAATAGTCCGTATGGTTTCACTCACTTATTTATTTGTTAAATATTTATATATTGTTTTATCTAAATAAATATCCATACATACACATACATGTGTATTTTTTTGGTCCTCTCTAGACTATAAAGTGAGTGCATGGACTCTGCCTTTTCATGGCTATGTCCCCAGTGCCTCACTCAATGGTGACACATATAATAGCAGCCAATAAATATTTGTTGAATGAATGAATGAATGCTGTTATCTTGCTGACAAGGAAACTGGAGCTCAATAGATAAAGTGCTTTATCCAAGGGTACAAACATACTCAAGAAGAGCAGGATGGTGAAGAAAACTAGAGCTAGTTCTATTGCTGCACACCACTTTTGCAGCAGACCGGGACAGCTGTGTGTGATTGTAGACCCCTAGGAGTCCCCAGGACTCTTTCGGGAGTCTGCAGTGTCAAAATTATTTTCATAATTATACTAAGAATGCTATTTCATTTTTTAACTCTGTTGACATATGCACCGATTATACAAAAGTAATGGTGGGTAAAACTGCTGGCCCCTTAGCACAAATCATTCAGTGGCACCCGACTGTACTGCAGCCGTGGGGTTATTTATTGCCACACACTCACAGAAAGGGGGGGGGAAACAACTCACTTAAGAGGGTCCTTTGATGAAACAATAACAATTATTACTTTTATTAAATCTCACTCCATTTCAGACTTTTTCTTATTCTGTGTTACAATCTAATAAAGTGTGGATGCTTCAGAAAGGAAGCATTGAGTTGTGATCTGAACTAGGCACATTTTTTCGTTGGGTTGTTTTTTTTTTTGGAACACAATTTTTGCTTGAAAGAACAAGTTCCAGACAAACTACAGTTATTCAGACTTGGGCATTTGGCAGGCATTTTCTCAAAAATGACAAAGGGAGCCTGTCACTTAAAGGAAACAACTGAGAGTATGGGTTGCCAATGACAAAAGTTGAGCTTTAGAGTAAAAATCAGAATTTTTAAAATATATGTATCTGCCACGGTGAGTTTGACAGCTTCCCAATACTCAAAGACTTTTTAAAGGTAATCAGGAACTACGTTAATAAATGCAATGTTTTTGGTATTATGTAATGAAATGTGTCAGCTTTTGGAGGGTCTGAATAATTCAGCAAGCCAGTATTTTTCAAATGTCCAATGCTTGATGTTATGAAATCTTGTGTGGATAAAAAACCCACTGAAAGTGTAAGGTAGGCCTGTACATTTTTATATAGCAGAGTGTGAGAAGTTTCCTGATATTGTATCAGATTCATTATTACAATTAACCTTTAAGAAACTACTACCACCTGCCAAGTTTTGGTGTTGCATCAAAGAAAACTATCCATAGTTGTCTGAAAAGCCTGTTAGAAAACTTCTTCCTTTCCCTACTACACATCTGTGTGGGGCCAGATTTTTACTTCAATCAAAACAACTTATTCCAACAGATTGAATGTAAAAACAGATATGAGAATGGGCCGGCCCAGTGGCGCACTGCTACAGTGTGCCGCTTGGGAAGTGCAGTGGCGCTCCCGCCGAGGGTTCGGATCCCACATACAGACCAGTTCCCGCTCACTGGCTGAGCGAGGTGTGGGAGCGATGCCGAGGGTTGTGATCCTGTGGCTGGTCCCGGTCCGGTACGGGCACGACACTGAGGGTTGCGATCCGTTGCCGGTCACAAAAAAAGACAAAAAGGAAAAAAAAAAAAAACAGATATGAGAATCCAGCTGAATTCTTTTGTCTGACATTAAAGAGATTTGGAAAATGTAAAATAATGACACTTCTCTTACTCAGTTTTTTTGTTTTGGAAAATATAGTTCTTCATGAACACATTTTTGTTAACATGTAAAGGGTTTATTTTTTTATATAAATAAATATTCATATTTCTTTCAATTTTTATTTCTAATATGGTAAATATTGATAGCAATAATGTATATTTATAATAGTTATCTGAGGACCTCAATTATCCTGAAGTATATTTAGGGGTTCTGAGACCAAAACGTTTTAGAACTGCTGAATTAGAGCATACCAGGTGGGGTTCAAACCCTTAAGTGCTTATGTAAGTATAAATAGGCCTCCTAGATGGTGAGTTCCAAGAGCATAGAGTTCAGGGCATCTTTTACAACTTCTGCAAGGCCATGTCAGTATCATTTTAAAAATCATAAGCTGTACTAGTCAATTTCTGTTGCTTATAACAGAATACCTGAAACTGGGTAATTTTTAAAGAAATAGAAGTTATTTCTTACAGTTTCGGAGGCTGGGAAGGCCAGAGTCTAGGGAACACAGATGGTGAGAGCTTTCTTATGGGTGGTGACTCCTCACAGAGACACAGGGTTTCAAATAGTGGATCGCTGCACAAGACAGCCTAACCTCATTGACTCTCCTTTGAGAGCCATCAGAACCACACCCACTGTTCCATGAATGGACTGATCTAGTTGCAAGAGCACAGTCCTCACGACCTAATCACCTTTTAAAGGATCCACCTTTCAATTTCCATAATAGGATTTCCCACTCTCTTAACTCTGTTCCAGTGGGGATCAAGTTTCAATGAGTTTGGGGAGACATTCAATCTACAGCATAAGCCAACTATAAAATTAAATATTAAAAAAGAATACATACATCTATAATGATCAGGATATTGGTTTTTAAAAATAGAAACTTCAGGGCTAAAACTAACAAAGTTCATTTTTCACTCTTGCTACATATACATTTCAGGTTGTCTGAGGTTCTGTTGCATTCGTCTTTACTCCAGAATGTTCAGGATGATGATGGAGCACCTAGCGTATGGAGCTCTGTCCATTGCTATGGCGGGAGGGAGGGAACGTGGTGAATTGTCCATTTTAAGAGAACCAGCTCTCAAAGCTCCTGCTGGAAAGGCTGTGTGGCTCTTGCACTTACATTTCTTTGGCAACAGCAAATCTTGTGGCTTTGCCTGACTTCAGAGAGGTCAGAAACTTGCCATCCCTCAAGATACCATGATCCGGGAAGCAGGAATGTTGGAATAAAGTACTTGTGGAAGGCAGTATATATCAGCAGCTCTAATGACTAGCATGACACTAGTCCCCTATCCTCAACATAAAGCCGCATTTGTAAAATTTACTGACGTCTGATTCTTAAGTTACTAATACATAATTTTTCACGGCTAAATGATTGAGTGCATACTATTTTGTGTTCTTTTCATTTGACATTATTTTACATATCTTCATAGTTCTCATATTTATAATTTAATGTCAATGTTAAATTTTATTTTATTGATATATTATTGTAATCTTAAACATTTCTTAATTGGGGGTAGTTAGGCAATAAGTAGCTAGTCTTTCACTCTTATAGATGGCATAGCAATATACATCAATATAAAAAAATATTTTGAAAAATTATTTCTTTGATGCTCCTGAGTCAAGGAGTAGGATGGATTTTTGTGATGACATGTGTTACCTATGTCGACCATTTTATAAGCTTTGATGGATTTTTGTGATGACATGTGTTGCCTATGTCCACCATTTTATAAGCTTCTGTGGAAAAGAATCTGGCCTTATTCATTTCTGTATCCCTAGAACCTAACAAAATATCTAGAATTTGGTAGGCATTCAATACTTGTCCAGGGAATGAATGACTCTTGGCAGATTGCTTTCCAGAATTATTACACCAATTCACAATGCCACCAGTACAGAACTATATTGCTCTAACAGACTTTTAAATAGTTTGAGCAGTGGTTTTCTTTTTCATTTATGCAATAGTTAACAGGGTGAAGTATATTTCCAAGATTTTTCTTTTACTATTTGTGTGGAGTTGTTTTTCACTTGTGCTCTACTTAATAAAATAAATCTGGCAATTTGTCTTAAGAAT